AAGACGTTCCTTGGATATTACAGCTCCTCCAGACTTTGACAGGTGTTGTGGGGGCTAGACAGGACTAGCATGATTATCTTCACACTGTATATTATTTTTGGTATACAAAATATTAAATAACAAGTTACAGACGTAGCTGATGTTTTTATGGGTGGGAAATGAATAATAACTGCTTTCAAGTCATCTGAGCACTGAAGATTTGTAAGTCTTTCTGTGAGTGGAACTGTTCTGTCCTGGAACTATTTCCAAATCTGAAAGACCTTTTCCATCTTCACTTTGCAACCACACCAAGTGGCATGTCCTCATGTCGGATGGGAAGGTCATTTTAAGGTATGACATGAACATTGGTCAGTGCTGCTTCTCTAGCAGATTGCTGGTTTGTTTTAATTGCAGCGCACTCAATACAACTTTCAAGCAGATTGTTTTCTCCCTTCTGTGGTGTGAGCTCAGCATAAATAACAAGAGAAGTAAACAAGCTCTTGGTATAGAGTGCTTCATTTTATTAAATGGAGTAATTCTTCCATTGTAAATACTTGACTCTTTAAAAACTGGAAACTTTCCAAGAATTAGAGACTTGTTAAGGCAGGGATGTTACAAAGACCACCTTTAGCAGCTTATGGACAAGAAAAAAGGTGTAGGACAAGCTAGAATCATACAGGCTATTCCCTTTGCATGCCTCCATGCTGTAGATTTCAGTAGAAGGAGAATTTATTGTCATTAGTAAATAAGAGACTAGAAGAATGGCATTTGCTCTCGCATTTTACTGGGAGCATTCAACTAAGACAAAGAGATATTCAGAGTACTGTCAGCTTATCCAGCATTATGAGACTGGCGTAGGCAGCTCGCATAAAGCAAGAACACAATTCAATACAAATTTATTAGCCTATAAAGCCATAGTTAATATATTACCTCTGGAAGCAAGCACTTCCAGGTGTTACTGTTTAGCCTGTATAGTTAGGATTCTGTCCTACTTTGAATGCAAAATGTTTTTTTATATTATTTAAATCCTGTACTAGAATTGCTATGTGTATGTCAAACGTTCAGTATGGAGTTACAGCATGTTTTATTTCTGATTTTTTTTTTCTTTTTTTTTAATTTCTTTCGCTCTGCCAGCTCTTGGCTTCTTTAGAGCAGATTTTCAGCTAATATTGAAGCATGCAATGATTAGGTGATACAGTCAATTATTTGTATAAGCATGGGAAAGGGTAAAAAAAAAAAAAAAAAAGTTCAATATAATCTAAATTCACTTAGTGTAATCCATACCAGATTGGTTGTTTGAACTCTTTAAAGTTTAGTAAATTTGTTGTAATTCTTTTTTTTTTGAAAAAACTTATTTGCCAGAAACTTTCCTGAAGTAGGACAAAGGTATTTTCTTCCTTGCTGCTGTTCCTCTTCAGTGACACCAACACACACACGAGTGACTGTAAACCAAGTAATCTGCAGTCATGAAGTCCTGGTACACTCACTACTAAATTAATGGTAGAAATGGTATCTTAACATCTGAAGTGATGAATCTTCAGCCTATCATCTCCTATAGCTCAGAAAGCGCTTGTGTCCCTCAGCCACCTCATTTTTGTTTTGCTGCGTTGTTTTGGCTTCTCCAGTGTGTTGATGAATGACTCGGTATTGGAAAGCTTCATTTATCACACAGGAGATTGTTTCTGATCCTGATCTGTATTGTCGTAACTTTCATGAATATTATAGCACAAGTAGAATTAAATATGAAGGTTTATTTGGAGGAATTAGCTTCCGACATTGAAAAGCAATTTGGGTTCTTGATTAAACATGAGAATTGCTAGCTTCCTCACTGTATTCTCCAGAACATCATGCAATAAGGTTATTTTGCCATCTGCATGTATTCTTTTAGCACATTGCTAGTAGATTTTGATTTGCTGATTTGGAAAATAGGACTTTGCTGTGAAGAGTTACTGTAAACACATGAATGCCTCTCTCTGTACTGGAGCTTAGATTTCTTACTGAATGCTGACATGATCTGAAGTGAACATCAGTGGGAACCAGAATCACATGTGCTGCTGACAGCTTTGAAACAAAGCAAATGAAACCCACTTTATCAACTCTGTGTTCTTCAGATTTTTTTTTTTTTTTTTGTCCAGAGGATCTCTCTAATTGTTGAATGGAATTTGATAGCTGAGCAGTTGGCAAGGACAAACCAGAATAAATCAGTTTCAAATACTTGCTCTTTCTTGATCCTTGGAATAAAACCAGATGACAATAAAAGTTCTGATAATTTAATAAATATAGTGCTGAAATAGCAGCCTGTGTGACCTTGAAAACCGATGAAGGGGGAATTCCAATCTGATTGTGACAACACCATGTTCTTCAGGAATTCTAAATCTGAATGGAGTTATACCTTCATCTAAAAGCCCTATCGTTGTTTTTGACAACGTGGCTTCATTAGATTCTCTTAGGTAATCCTCACAGCATACATTGTACAGTAAGTTAACAGCTAGTGTTGAGAGTTCATTTACTCACAGAGCCATGTGTGAGAGATTCTTAGGTCCAAATTGGTTTCCAATATATTGAATTAATTCCAAAATTCAATCTCATTCATTTCTACAGCATCCAGTAGTTAATGACAAGCCAAAATGATATCTAGAATTTCCAAAATGCAGAAGGTTGAAGTCACTGTTTTCTCCTCTTGCAGATGAACTTTCAGAAGCTCTTCAAGTTAGCCTTCAGAGAGCAAAAAGAACCTCAACTTGAAGAATGGTATTTTAATTGAGCAGAGGACAAGCTAGCATGTATTTGTCCATTGTGGCAGAGGATCTGCATTTCCTTATTTTGACATCACGTTGTAAATGTTGACATAGAAGCAGCTTTCTTTGCCTTTCTGTTGATTCTTATCTGGTGTGCTGTTCCAGGTTCGAAGGCTAAGCTAAAGGCTAATAGCCTTCATGTGACCTGTAGTGGTGCAGCCACCTCATCATCAGTCTGAGTTCTCTTAGTAAGATTCCAAACACTGTGGTATCTTTCTTGAGATGGACAGTGAGTGAAGCCTAGATTTAGGAAAGACATTGGTGTTAGCAGCATGTGTTTCAGATTTGTTCTGTTGAGTTTCGTTTCAGCAGATACCTCGGTGGAACAGAGACCAAGATATCTGGGATGTGTGCTCTTTGCATGTGAGCATGACTAATTACACTGAGCCACCTCTTTAAGATTAAGCACAGTTGTGTTCTCTGATGATCCTGGCTGTGCTGAGGAAATGGCATTCTAGTCTCTCCAAACATCTTGTGTTCCAATAGGCTCAAGGCTTTCTTTGAAGATCTTCTTTCATTCAGAAATTAGATTCAATGCAATGCATTCTAGCCTAGCTTTTCTCCCTACTGTTGTTTTCTTTTAGGATTACTGTTTGGTCATTCTTTAGTTTGGGCCATATTCAATTGCCCTTGTAATTAGTGTGGAGCTAATAACCCTGTACCGGCTAATCATCTCTGCTCTGATTTTCTGGGAGTGTTTTGACTCTTTCAGCTCCAACTGCCTTTTGTGGGGAGTTCTTGACATTTAGCACATCTGCAGCCAGTATATTTCAGTAATGAACAAGCTGTTAGTGTCGTAGCCATTGAATGATAGGATTATTCTGACTAAACCTGAGTGTCTATAATGTAAGAATCCTTATTCAAATGGGCCACTCTAGGATCTCTTCCTAGACAGTGGAGTTGTGCCATTATGTTGTGGAGTAAGAATGTAGCGTCTTTCATTTGAAAGGGGATGTCTGCATTTGGTCAGATGATTCGTGCCATAGGAAAAGTGGGAGGAGATTACCTATTGACTTTCATCAGACTTCTCCAATTTTCTTGAAGACCTGATGTAAGTCTCTGTGCAGAACTGCCTTTGGGATTTATGTTCAGGTACATCAGAGGAAGTAGAAATTGACAGATATAAACAGAGCTTGAGGAACTCTCAGGTTGAAGTCAGGAGGAGTACCTTTAAAATGTAATGGCTTAAGTGCACGTGACAAAATTTACATTCATGCACTGCTTCTTAAAACTTTAAACTATATGGGAATATTCATATTGCCACTACAGCAAGCTAAGAAATCATCTGCTCATGAGGTCAGCATTTTGAAGACTGTCAGTAATCATTCTTTCCTTCTGCCTTTGTAAATGAGGCTGTACTTCTTACTTCCTGCAGTTCTTGGAAGCAGGCATAGTATCCTGCCTTAACTTTGCGTGTACTGTTTGACAAGTTCAGTCTTGTTTGGCCAGATATTTCATCTTGTATTAAAAGAAAGAATCAGTTTACCTTCTGTAAATCCAGATTTTGTTGTAAACACAACCATGAAATAAAACAGGTTTGTTTAAAGCTGCGAAGACTGATTTGTATAGTTTTTGGCTGTCACTATTCAAGAGGATGAAATTAATAACCACTCCCTTTTCAGTCCCTAAAGCATTTTCTATCCAACAACCTTTTAAGGTAGGTAGCTCTGGGTAGCAAATCTGTAGTGCTCTGGTAGTGTTGAAAATACTTGCTCAATCTTGATTAAGCTTCAAAAACCTTTGGCAAAAATAATAGATGAATGAATAGATGAAATTTCTTAATATATTCACAAGGAATATAAAACAAAATCAACCTACAATTCTAGAGTGTAAGAGCTTTAACTTTTTAAGATCATTCTTAATTTCCTTCAGTATCAACAGTGGGCATTTAATAGAACTGTCGCTTTCAGTGCATTTCTCAAAAACTGAAATACAGTTCAAGGTACTCTGCTTATGTTGCAACATATGGTGGAATGGACTGTAAAGAAATATGAAGCAGGAAGTTAGATTCATTTGGCTGCGATATTGTGATGAACTTCGTTTTAGGCACAGAGCATATGCTAAGTTTTAAGCACTTGAATTAGTTCTTAAAATTGCTGAAGATTAAGTATATAAGGAAGTATTTGCAGAAATTCAGATGAATGCGTGAACTTCACTTTGTTCTCCAGCACATAATGTTTTTGACATTCTCTTAAGATTATTTTTCCCCCACCTTTTCTGTAGGTGTTCACCTCCCATGGGCCTACTGTCATCATGCCAACCTGGTTCTGTTCTCGAGAATGGTTTTATCACGTAGGAAAATTTGATGAGGGTGGAAAGGTGAGTGAAACTCTTATTCAGATTCATGTGGACCTATTCTGTGTTTCAGACCTTAGGAGTTCTGGTTCCAGTGGTTTTGGTGAGATTTTGGAAAGTATTCCTTTAATTGTGCATTAAAAAGATTTGCTGAAGTTATTTCCTATTTTAGTATTTAAACTACAGCTTCTTATTCTCACTGTATCCTCTAAATGCAGCTATGCACTGCGTGTGTGTACATACACATACATTATGTGTGTGTATGAGGATATACAAGTGTTATTCTTTGTTCTGCCAGTAAAAAATTAAGCACTGGCAGAGAAGTGTTTAGAATGCTGAAAAGATTTGCCCTCAATTTTGGGGCAGGTGAGTGGCAGAACTGGAGCCTGTTCTCCAGTACAATCCACATTCACTGAGCTATGCTCTTTGTTTCTTTTTTAGTATCATTCCTTATAATTACATTTTCATTCCCTGAAGAATGTTTGACATAACTTTTTGAGCATTCTTAGTAAGCTCAAAAAAGAAAGCAAGCTAAAACACAAGAACAGTAGAACTCCAAGCCTAATGATAAAGTTCAAGAGGTGAAGTTAAACAGACCATTAGTCTGCTTTGCTTTTATATTTGGTTTTCTTCCTTTGTTTGGTTTTCTTTTGTGCTTTTATGCCTTTTTAGAAATTTTGTCTAGCTTTATATGTGTAGTTGTGTATTACTCACATATAATATGTTGAAAATTTTAGTCCTAATGATTTTGCAGCAGCACTGTAGCCCTAAAAATTCTCAGTGACAAGTTCAACTTTTTGTCCTCATTGTGACCTGACATCAAAATTAACTCTGTCTTGTACGGAGGGCATTAAACAGATTACTAACAAGAAGTGCAACTGGTCATAAACAGTGAGGTCAGAGGATACAAAATCATTTAGCACTTAGCACTGTAAGTATTTATATGACTCTTCCATTTGAAAAGAATTTGAGGCAAAGATTTTCTGTTGTTTATAGACCTGTTATGAACTGGTGCCTTCATAAACTAGTAAGGACTCTTACTGATCTTACCTATATGTCTGTATGTTCTGACCTGACCCATCATCTCACTGTGTTAACTTGATCTCTTCTGTCTCCATTTTTGAGTTACTATTCAACGGTGTGACCTCTAAGTGTCATATTGCTGCAAATAAACACAGAGAGAGGCCAACAAACGTCCACGTTTCAGCCTTCTCCATCTGCTAAACTATTTGCATGCCAAAAAGCTGCATTTCTCATTTGGATTTAAATCCAAACACCTGTTCTTCATGTTTCAGTGCTTAGTACAAATGGAATATAATTCTTCCATGGAGGAAATTGTGATTTGATGTTTATGTTAATAGTATGGGTAGATTGACAGAATATAAAGATAAAACTATGTGTAATCTTAAAAAATTAAAATCTGACATTATCTGGGTAAGAGTCTGAGAAAGCACAGATGCTGATGTTTTCTTGCTTGGTATTGTTTATGCTGGACAGAGATCAGTATTTGATCTGAAAAAAAATGAAAGTGGTGGAGCCAATGATAAATGAGTCTGTAAAACTATTTGAAAATTCATTCCATTCCCCATGCCTAATAACATTTTTGGTTAGCCTATCATTAAATACCGTTTAGAATTTATCACATCCCTTTTGTGTGATGTTTCTATCATCTTTAACCAAATTTATCTGAATTTATTTGGATGAAAGAATTTCTTGTAACCTGCTATTTTCCAAACCATTAAGTAAATTTCACATTAGAGGCCCAGGTCTTAAAACTAAGGAAAATGATTTAAAGCCATGATTTGGATAGGAGCCAAAAGATGGTATGACAGTTTTACAGAGAGAGACTTGAGAGTATACAGGATAATCCTAAGGAGAAGGTATTCACAGCTATTTAACATAGCTTGTGATTGCTCTGCTTGCATACTTCTGGTGACTGCTCTAATGGAAGCTCAAGGAATGTCTTCAACTGTGGTGATTTCTCTTTGAGAGAAGTAATTTCAGCGAGAAGTTCCCTACAAAATCAAAATATAGTAATTTAATACAGAAATTGTCTTCATGAATATCCCGAGAGATAATTCTTCATAAATTACTTCAGTTGTTTTTTCTCTACTTCCACATTTAAAATAGACAATAGCTGCAGTTTCTTAATCTTCACTTCCAACAGCTCAGTAGTTTTCCCAGTCAGTACTCCTTGAACAGCAGATATTGCTAGATGATGGCACCTGGCAGAAGAGCATTTGATTCTGAGGGAAGAGGATTTCCTTCACCAGAAGCCATGTTCTGAATTCACCTTCATGCTACCACCCTTCTCTGTGTTCCTTCCATAAGTCCAACAGTTCATTCAAGACTGAGGAAATACTGTGGAGCAGCTGTTGCCATAAGTACTTCAATTTTTACTTGACGTCTCTGTTTTGGTGCTGAACAACTTGGAGTTCAACGCTTTTTTCCTGCTTAACCTTAGGTGTTGTAACATGCACCATTTGATCTGTTTTCCAGGCAACTCCACTGTAACAGTAGCATGATTTTTCTTCTTTATCTAATGTCCTAAAGTTTGTAGTGGGATGGAACTTAGTTAAATGATGATGAAACAAACTCTCACCAAGATCCCATAAGAAGCAAGTTAGTATGGAAACAAGAATTGCTTTCTTTGTGATATGTTCCATACAGCAACTTCAGGCTCCTCTGAGAAATGAAAGAAATTTTGACTTATTCTATCCAACGCTCCCCTGCTGTTTTTCTGTGGTTATCGGTGCCCTCTGACCGAAAAACCAACTTTTCTCAGTCTGTAGATCTGTAGTGACCAACACCAGCTGCTGCAGATTTCTCACCAGGTGTTAGCAGTTACAGGAGCTGAGGAGCAGTATTGCACACAGGGCAGCTTTTTAATTAAAAGTCCTTCAGAATTCATAGATAAATACCTTCATCTTCCAGATTCCCATTCTCTTTTTGTTAGTACTGTAAGCTGGGCCTAAGATACTGCCTACTGGTGGTGGAGCTGCAACATTCGAAGCCAGAATTTCTTGTTGTCTTGAGAGCTGGCTTGAAGCTCCCTATGAAGTACGTGTGTTGAGGATGTTGCCCTTGATGCACAGTTCTGTGCACAGGAGTGGGAAATGCAAGGCGAGGGAGGAGGCAAGAGATGAATCATGGAACATTTAGTTTTGTCCCCTAACAAGGAGTTGCTTTAGTTCAGGTTTGGGTCTGCTTGACATCATGTACAAAATTAGTCCCTGCATGCATCCAGCCGAGTTGTTAGCACAGTCAAGTGAAACCTGTCCAAAATACTGGGTAAATACACGTCTTTCACTTGCTTAGAGGCAACATATTAAAGTGAACTGTTAATCTGAATGTGGCTGGTGTGTGGTGGTTAGAACAGAGCAGGTGCAAACTGCTTTTTCTCCTAGGAATCTTAATGTGCAGCTGATAGGCTGAGGCCATCCCTTAGTGCAACAGCACGTATGGTTGGATTTTGCCTATAATGTGGAAAATTCCATTTGTACTCCAGTAACATATAAACTGTGCAATATAATTATATTAATGCTGAAAACTATTTATGTGGTAGGTTATTGCTGATATCCTAGATTGATACTTTTAGCTACGGGTATTAATTTTCCAAAAATATGCTGAAGTATCCCTTTAGCAGTTAAAGCAGCCTTTTCTTTGAAAGTTGCATTGTTTGACAAAGGTTCCTGGTGTTTAAAATGCCATCTGGATCCAATAATGCCTCTCAACTGGGAAGAAACTCTTGTACTGCACCGAACTTTACATGCTCAAGAGCTGTAGGAAGTCCCATCCCTGCAGGATCTGTAACATGGTCAACATCTTTCCTCCCCTGAAAGATGTACGTCAGTGCTGCTCCTTTGTAATGTGAGAGGCCACTGCTGAGCAATACAAGGCACCTGCTTGTTCCTGGCAGTGAGCATACTTTATTTCATAGTATTTCTGCTGGTTAAAGTAAAAGAGCTCTCCAGAACCAAACAGCGTTGTGAAAGATCCTTTTGCTTCTTCAGTAATTCTCTTCTTTAATGTACCTATTAAGTTGAATGATGTAAACCATATCCAAAAGCAAAAAGAGCAGAGATGTGCCTTGTCAGTCTCAGTCTATTGCCTGACTGCAAAGAAATACTTCAAAGAATAATTTTAAAACTTTGCTGCTAATTCTCAGTAATTCCATTAAAGTTCAGAATAAGAAAAGGCTAGTAAGTCCTATAAGATAAATGGAAAGAATCTGAGTTTGCTTTTTTCTGAAGCCTTGATTGCTGTTTGTTGCTCCGGTCTCCCTCAGATTACTTTTGTGACTTTCAACTCAGTTCGTATAAATCATAAATTATATGAAGTTCTCTAAACGTTTTCATCTGTATCTGAGCTCTTAAGCTAGAAATTAAATGAATATTCACAAAGAGAAACATGAACTTTTACTGACAAGCTGCCCTTGCCAAGCAATCGGACAGAATGGAACCGATTTTATTTGTGGATCTGGGAGCAGGGTCCAATTCAGTGCCTTAAATCAATCTATTATACAGTGAGGTCTGGAGCTGTGAAGTACAAAGCTTGAATTAGTTATGATTTCTCCCAAGACACATGTGTTCGACTGAGTGTTTTGGATTTGTTTTCTGGGTTTAAAGCCATTCTGCCTTATCCCCTCTCCTCCCCCCTTGACTGCTTTGTCCAGACCCTGTCTGACACCAGCACTCAGTGTGGTGGGTATGAAAAACAGGCACTGAACTGTGTTACTGTTGTAACTAGAGGGCCAGAAGAAACCACATAGGCATTTTGTATCCAGAGCTTTAATTTAGAGAATCTATTTTTCTTAATTATGGAAGAAACTCAGAAGCTGTGGTAATGGGCGAAAAAAAAATTCAATTCATTTTTTTTCCCCTTGGATTTTCATTATTTTTTTGTGTGTGTTGAAATAAAATATCTACATTTAAGGATTTTGACCCCCTCATTATTCCTACAGAAACAAATCTATTTCTGTCTCTCTTATTCCTTCTCTATAGTCTTCACATTGTTGTGTTGCTTTTCAGCTTTTTATTGACTCTACACTTAATTGGCAAAATTATTCTATCAGAGATTTTCAGCCTGGTAAAGTTATGGGAATGTTTAAACACTCCACTGGAGGAAAGAAAAAACTGTATTTAAACATAGGAAAAATGATGTTCTAGCCAAACTTCAAATTTTCAAGAAGTTGCTTTACTGCAAAATGTAGATGGATGCTTTTTTACTTTGACTGCAGGGCTGTATCACTAAAGGTGGGTTTATGCTTTGGTATGTAAGACACACTTAAGTACTACGTGCCATATGATTGTTCTTCTGACACACTGTCTCTGGCATGAAGATTTTCTGATTTTGGGTGAAAAATGCTGCATATGATTATGGCATTTCTATTCTTTTGGGAGCCTGACGGCTCCAGAGTTCTAGGAGGATTCTTCCCTGCAGTTTCAGCACTGTTGCTTGCAGTTCCTTATGAAGAACATGACGTGGCAATAAGTTGCAAGAAAAGATGCTTTACTTTTCAAATGCTGCTTCATTCCAACCGTTTTTATTTTTATTGAAAGTTCATGTCTGTTATTACGGAGCCTGATTCACCTTTCCTAAGTAGAGACCAGTGTTTGGCAACCAAAGAAAGAAGATTAATTCTATTAAAATGGGAAAAAAGCAACAACCCACTCTTCTGAAGTCACTGTTCCCTTTCAATAAATTACTTGGTTGCTTGGCACTTTTGAGGCTTTGTGAACTGTTAAGCAGCTGGATTATCTCTTTTTGGGACTGATCTGCATCAAGCTTTTCCCTGTCAAAATGAGACCATTTATTTTTCTACTTATGTCCTTAAGGTCAGATGTATTTCATTTTCAAACAGCACTGCTTGCTTTTTAGTAGCTTTGTCTTTTGTATAGATATGCTTACTTAGTGAAGCATTCGGTAAGTTCCTGGAGATATACAGAAATAATTTCATTTATCAGAAATATATAAAATATATAAAATATATACTTAGATGCAACTAGTCACTTGGTGGTATGAAAGAACTGCTTCTCTTCCAGGGTGTTCCAGAAGACTTGTTGTTTTTTTATAAACATCTCCAGAAGGGTGGTGAAGTCCTTCGAGTGAACCATTGCCTTCTGCTGTACCGTTACCATCCACAGGCTGCAACTCATTCTGTCCTTGAGTAAGTTGAGGCTTGTTTTGTAGAACTTAAAAATCAGCTTCATCTTGGATGATTAGCAGTACAAATGCTTTATTAAAAAACAAACAAGAAAGCCGAGGAGCAATGAAATCTTAATATGCTGATAACATCCTGTATTTACCGATGGAAGGATAGTTTTCCTGTTTTGTTTTGTTATAACCTGTTTTTGAGGAACATAATATAATGCTGGCATTGAAATTACGAATAGAAATCTTTGGTGCTGATGCCCATGGAGTGAAGGCATTTTAACATTGGACAAATATTCCAAGAAATAGTTCAGTCTTTGCAATTATTCTTGAAATAATTTCACAACAGGTACAGTGAGAGCAATCGGGAGTTCTGGTGGCTGCATTACAGCAGTGCTTTCTCAGCTTCCAGTTCCCATCCACTCCGCTGAGGCAGTTCAGTATCTTATCACTTCAGATTCTGCAAGTTGCCCGAATAACCTCTCTGCTTATTTCAAGTATTTACATTTTTTGCCCTTAAGGCAATTGGAAATACTGAATGTGATCGTGTTTCTCATCAACTGAACATGGCAGTGAAGCCATAACTTCTTCAGTACTTTGCAGATTATTGCAAAAAATATATATATATAAAAAATAAAAATTGCATTACACTAAAATTACTAATAAGATTTTTCTTTTTATACTTCAACTGTAATGTAAGACACACATATATTTTTTATTTTAAAGCTTAATTTCAAAAAGAACTGTCTTGGTTTTAAGGAAGTATACAGAAACCTATTGTAATACTAACAAAAATCTTCCTTAGGAAAGTGAACAAAAAACAGATATTTGATCTGAGAATTGCAGCATTTACGAAAACTATTCTCATATTTTAAAAAGTCTAAAACATCTAAATCAGATAACAAGGTTTGAAAAATACTTCTGAGGATGTGTAGGAGTAATCTTCTCAGGTGCTTTCTTGTAAGCTGTCTGCTGCCTTTACAGTGCTGTTCTACCCTTCAAGATGAAGCTAAACTGTCGATTGCTGATTCTTTGAAGTGCTTTATCTATCAAAAGTGCTCTTTCTGATCAGAAGTAATGCAAGTTGAGCCAAAGTCATGACAAAAGAAGTGTTTCTCTTACATTTTGACACTAGTGAAATGTTTGAGTTTTGTTATCCTTTAAGAGTCTCACAACCAAACTACAGTGGTAATTACATAAACTGTTTTCTTACTGATGAATGACTTACACTCTTCAGTCAGTCCTGTTTATGGCTTTGTAGCACTGACTAGTAAAACATTTGTATGCATTTTAGTTGTATATCACAATATTATTACTGTAAATACTCAAAGAGTCATTCCAAACAAATGGAAGATACTCTTTTGGATTTTGTAAACAAACACAAGGTTTTTTTTTTTTAATTGGCATTTGGTTTTTCCTTTTGTGTGCATGATGGCTTTGGCAGCTAGTTACAAACTTTTCAGCCATGCATCGTGGGATGTTGGGACTCTTGGAAGACTATTGCTTCTATCTGTGGGAAAGCATCTTATTCTTGGAAATGAGTTTGTTCTGAATTTACTGCAAGCTGTTGCTTATTCAGATCTACAAGGTTGTGTGGCACAAGCACCCTGAATTACAACACACTGTGAGAATGTGGAAACACTGTAAGCTGTTTCAGATGTGCAGCTTGCATGTCCAAATTGGCGCCTCGCTCGTCTCATTCTCAGAAGGCGGGCTAGCTATTCTTCCTGCTGGCTTTTTGTTGGTAGTATTGTTAACAATATTTTGTGCAAACTTACAAATGTGAACTTGTGTAAGATCTCTTCATACTGGCATGCTCCCCTGCTTATTGCCTAAGTTGTAAAGGACTAGCCAGCATTTGTTCCTGAATGCTACAGTGTGCGTTGCTGTGGGACTCGCCACAAAGGTTTAGCATTGAAATCGGGCCTTCCCTAATTTGCCCTTTTTACACTTTCAATCTGTAACACATGTTCAGCCTTTTCCCGCAGCCTTTGTCTTGTTGGGGTGTTTTACTTGAGCAGTTTTCTGACACTTTGCCTTTGTCATTGGCCGTTGCACTCTCAGCTTTAGCCTAAGCCTGGATATGGGAGTGATAAACCAGGAACCAGATTAATATATTGAGAGAAAAGTGGCACTTACAGGAAAGTTGAGAGTTTTAATGGTTTATGTCTGGTTTCAGAGTTGGGAGCTAGTTAATAGAGTTTGTTTATGCAAAGGTGCACACACAGTCCTTCAGCAAAGACAATGGGCATTCACATCCTATTGTGAACTGATTTCAGTTTATACAAATGTCTTTCATTACTATTCAGTGAAAATGCATGATCCCACATATTCAAACTTGTTAAAGTGTATATATAAAGCTATTCTGGCAAGCAAAATTTTGTTTAGTTTAGTATGCATAATGGTAAACAATGCTCTTTAAGTCCTTTCCTATGATTGGGATCTTTCTGGAACAGATTTCTAAAGGTGAAGGTATCTGTGAAGCAGGAAGAAAAACTTATTTGCATTCTCCCTGGAGGTATCAGACTAAAATATCAAATGCTGTGTGTGTGACAGAATCTGAACCAAGTGCAGGCTGTATTTACATTTCATTAGATGCATACAAAAATATAAGCTCTTTCATTGAAATCTCATCTAAAGTATATGGCAAATACCTGCTGAATGTGGATGAATGATACAAGATTTGGGAAACTTCAGCCTACTACTACTACAAAAAAATCCCACGCTGTATCTCTTGGATCTAAATCATATTATCTCAGTTTACAGCTTCTATCCTAGGGGTGTGTGTATTTTGTGCTACAGGGCTCTGTTGCACTGATCTGACAGAATATCAGAGTTGGCATTATAGTGAGAAGTACTACGGTAAGTTTGGTGTGTAATAAAAACATCATAAAATTCATAGATCTTTATCTTGCTAAAGGGGAGAAAAATGAACTGTATATTAAACAATGTACTGCATTGCAAGACAAAAGTCAGTATGGTAAAATATGAGCAATAAAACACTGTACTTGTCTTTAAGTGGTGGTGCACATGAAGACAGTTGGGGCAGGTAGGAAATCTTTGTAGCAATTTACAAATTTTTGGTCAAGAGAAATTTAAGATATGCAGAAAACAGGGTCAGATTCCCACTGAGATTTGGGAGATTTTCTTTTATACAGAAAATTTGAAGCATGCTTAAATAACTCGTAGTAATTTCATGTGCTGTGTGCTCAGAACAAATGTAATGTTGTACAGGCTTATTCTGCAGAAATATCCCATATTACGTAATCTACTAAAACCATTGGTGTCAGGCACTAGAAGCTTCCAGTGTCATCTAAGCAAAAGAACAGGCCCTTAGTTTGAACACGCTTTCAGTTCTTTTAGAGGTACTTGAGGCATGGTCTCATATCACTGATGAGCACTGGAATGGCTGCTTAATTTCTTGCAAAAACATGTATCCAGAAATAAGCAGGAGCGGATACAGTCGTAACGTTTTCCTGCACGACGGTAGTAAAGATGAGGTCAACTGCATTTTTATCGTCTGTCTGCATTTGGCACTTCAATTAAACATGAAAACTAATGACCTCATTAGATTCTTGAAAAGCGAATGGCATTAACATTGATAGTCTCTGTCTTTCTTAATAAGCCTTTCATGAAAAATAGGCCACAATGCAAACCATGCCTCAGTTAATGACCCACGACCTGAAAATGAACTCAGACATTAATAGAACCTATTAACAGTGTAAATGTAATAACTCAGTAGTACGATATAGTGCAGCAATTAATAAGTTCAGATAAAGTTCAACAGAACAACAGCGACCAAAAAAATCAGTTTATTCACCAGTATGGTCAGGGTTCAAATAGGATTCATTTCTGAATTTCCTGTGGATTGCAAGGGCTGTGAATTCTGCATGCAAAGCTAGCTGTAAAAAATCTAGCTGGAAGGAGTGTGTTCTTCCAGCTCTCGCTGTGATTAAAAAGTTCTCTGTTCTTCCATCTCTGGATTATCTATCAGGTGAGATTCACCTCATATAAAATTCTATTATCCTGCCATGAATAAAAAAAACACTGGCAGAGGCTATTCACTTGAATAGCTGTTCTTCCTGTCTGGTGTCACCTGAGTAGCATGTGGGACCTCATGTAGAGGGAAGGTCAGATTTATAGTGTTACTGTGGATGATAATCAATGCCTACAGTTTCAATACTGCTTTAGGATACTGGGCTTGTATTTTTACATTTCACAAGTACTTGTACATCTGTCTTTGCTCTGTTGATTCACTTATGTAACCTCACTGGGGGGAAGGAGGGGAGAGGGAGTCAAACGTTATGGTGAGGTTTAACAGAGCTCAGACATTAAATCATATAGCTTTTATTGTCACATTATCTTTCATTTCAAAATAGGAATGGAGCAGATGTTTCTTGACTCCTGTATTCAGTCAGTAGGTCAGCACACACTTTAACAGAGCTCCATTGTTACATTACTAGGGTGGATGGGATGGCAATAATTGCAGGGGACTGAGAAGCACACTTCTCACCCACTGAATGAATACCCTCATGTCGATCCTGCAGAATTTTGGCTCCTCTTCTTCTTTCCAGACTGCATAGCTTAGGAGGATTGAGTGGGCATACCACATGAGAATGATTTTCCAAGTTAAAAAATGTATGTCTGACATTTGTGAATGACGGGAAAATGAAAGAAATGAGGAAAAAATTGTGTACTTCAAGGATTTTGATTAAAGAGTTGTGTTACAATGGGTGCCAGCTTCTGTAATCAGAAGAGTTTGTGTCCCACCTTCTGACTGAGAAAAATGCTGTTGATTGAGAAGAGGCTGGGAAATGATACTAAAGGCTACTACCAAAGTGTTTGCCTTTAATCCTATCTGAGGTGGTAGGTGAAAGCAGCTTTGTTTTGGGATGATGTAGAATAATGATAGCTTCTAGGTTTTGCTTATGGCTATTTGAATATGTAATAACATGAAATCTGAAAGTAGCTGTGAGAATCATCTGTGAGAAGCGGTTTGTACAACTTCTAGATTGTTTCAGGCATTTTCTTTAAGCATGCTTTGCACGTTGCTACAGTTCCCGTCTGTTGCACCTGCACTGGCTCTTAAATGATGGGAAAATGGCATTCCCTTATCCCTCAAGGCAGGAATCCCAGTTATCTATTCTGGAAACGTCCAAAAATGTGGCAAATTAGGTGAACCAGAAACCAAAAGGGTGTAACTGAAACTCTCCCTTTTGACACACCAGGAGCTACTTTTTGCTTCAACACGTGAGAGATATTGTTCATAAAGAGCATGTTTTCATAAAGATTAAGTCCGTTGTTGTTGCTGTAATTAAAGCTCAAAAACAAACGCCTCCCCTTGACTCCATATCTATATGACCATCTGGGCTCACACTGCTGAATGATTTTCAGGGTTGTAACTCCAGATTGCTAAGTGTTGATATATCTTAACTTTTTCATTAAAAAGGGTGCATACGATATGGGAATCAGTTTAAAAACAACAACAAAGTGAAATTTTCAGTTTGAGCTTATAGTGAATATGGTAATTCATCATAAGAACGTCTCATAGTGATGCTAGAAGAAATTCATAATTGCTGTATATATTGGCTTCTCTTACGAAGTCCAAAATTCTCATTCAAGAAAAACATTTGTTGGGGTTTAAATAAAGCTGTCTAACAGTGCTGTTGTGTTCAAACAGAAGTCTAGTTAATGTTGAGTTTCACATTCTTAGTGCAGTTTGCTTACTCCCCACTCTTGCGTTACTCAGTGTAACGCTCGTATACAAGATAGGGTCAGCAGGTCTGCTTCAGCCTGATCATTTTTGAGTGCTCGTTAGCTGGAGTGTGAGAAGTTGCTGAGAGTCAGTGCACAGAAATATCAAATTCTAGGCTTCTCCCCAACAACTCTGCCATTCTTGCTGCTTGCTGTAGAGCCTCTGAAAACACAGTTGTTAGTCTCTTCTTGGTCAATGACGCCTAACTTTTTTTTTTTTTTTAAGTGAATTAATTTCAGTTATTTTTCCTAGCTTTTAGCCATCTAGCAGTGAGTAGATTGAAAGCCTTGCTGGATTCTTTCTGACCCTGGCTCTACTGCTGGTGATCCTGTGCCCTGACTAGCTTCTCCATATCAGCTCTATCTTCAGGAGGCTTGGTCCAGAACTGGAGGTTTGCTAATAATTCCTCTTTTACCCTTGGAAGGCTGCCTATTTTTTTCCTCCCCTTCCTTGACTTTGTTAAAACTCAAGAAGGAAAGAAACTTGACTGTGCTGCTCAAGTCAGTGGGACATATTCTGAAGTACCTCTGGAAAATAATGCACTGTTATTCTTCTGAAGTCACATTTCAAAGTGAAATCAGTTTTCAAACCTTTCCATTTACGTGTAAAGCCACAATCTTCCTTTTTAGAAACTCGCAGAAGCTCTAGAATTTCCAGTAACATGATTCTGGAAAAATACTTGACCTTCATAGTTCTTTCCCTTAACTTTCCTTCTGGGAATATAACATGCTGTAATGAACATGGAAAAATGGAAGTGTCAGAGGATGCCAGCAGCAGCTAAAGCTTTGCAGCAGGAATGCAGCTTGTGGTTGCATTAGAAGAGATTTGCAATCAAATCCAAGATTTTTTTTCCTTTAGTTGAAGTGCTGGTGCATGGCCTCAGTCTTCAAAACTTTATATGGAGTGGCTAATTCTTCGTGGGCACGTTTATTTGTGTGAGGAGTTCTTTCCAAGTTATCGCACCACAATCAATGATGAAGTGCTAAGCAGCCATATAAGGATTTGGCTGTGCTCGGGATCTCCTGCAGAAGTGAGGCAGGCTCTCAAGAGCTGGCTAATAATCACAGAAAGAATCCATATGCCTGTGTGCTATGAGGGCTGTGGAGGAGTGGCACGAATGAAAACAAAATTCCCATTGTTAAGATGTAAGAAAAGCTTGCTAACAAACTTTTGGTAGAAATTGTTACGTAATAAATTTTTAATAGCCTCAAATTTTATACTTGTGTATATTTGTGCCTTTGAGGTATGCTTCATTAAAGTCATTTGGAACGACAAAATAGGATCCAGTGCAGCCTTTATGGAAATTGATGATCCATAACAAAAAGAAAGAAATTGAAAATCTTTCATAAAATTAAGATGAGACATAATGCCAGATCATCATAAATCTGTGTGTAGCATGTGTACGGTTCTGTAAGAGAATCACAATGGATGCATACAGGACTGCAGATAGTCAGAAGGGAGCAGCCTGATTCATTGATGAGAATGGCTCAGAACTGCTCCTCTTCATGACTCTGCCGGCCTGCGCAGTTTGGATTCTTACTATCAAGGAAATTGTGAATGGTTTTTGATTTCTATATGGCAAGTTGCTCTTAAAACCAGGAATCAGGCCTGGCCAGGTAGACAGCTGAGGTTGAAACTTACTGCAGCTGCCCTGTGATAACCTGTGCTGACCTATTAATTAGAAGCTTTATTTAAAGCAAAAGGAAACAACACATTCTTGGAAAATGCATAAATTCCATATGAACTTAATAATGTCAGAAAATCATGGAGCTTTAAATTGTGTGTGTCAAAGGTGTATTGGTAGGAAAAATACGTATTTCCAAAGACAAGGAAACAACAAGTCTGTTAGTGCTTAATTTCAGAGAATGACTATTCATAAATGCATGATTTAGTCCTGAATGTTTTTTTTTAAAGCAGCGTACGTTTTGAGTCACAAGGGCTATTAAAGCTGTACAATGATTGGTAACAATTGTTCTAAACTGTATTGTGTTCTGGCATTATAGTCAAGTGGAAAAGCCATTTGAAGAAATGTTTTCAGCAAGGATAAGAAACTAGATGGCTTTTGGAATTTCTGACAGAATTACTTTTCAACACAGTGTCTTGTTCAAGAGATGTCCATTAGATTTGTCTGTCAAACCATAAATTAAGGAAATCGGTGTATCGTATCTGGAGCACTGTTTGTAAGTATCAGATAGGTTCCTGGTTAATGAATACAATGTGAACTCTGAACATTAAACAGATGTTCTTGAGAGCAGGTGGTTTCTTTAAACCATTGTAAATTATGTAGTCTAAAATATTACATTATATGGTGGGAATAGATTTTTTTTTTTTAATACATAAATGTTTGAAAGTGATAGGAGGTGTGCACAAAAGAAAAGAATAATGTCACAGTTGTGAGACTGAATTAATTCAGTCAGTTAGGATGTACAGGATACGAATGTAAGCCTTGAAGTTGTCCTCTCTTGCTGAGATTGTATGTTGAACCTTTTGAAGATCCCAGCCAGCCATCAGCATTTAAGGATATTACGTGTTCCCTTCTTACTCGTTGTACAGACACATGGTTCATCATTTGATATTCATCTCACTGCTGTTTACCTCAACCACTTGGCTTAAGTCATACTGTGAAATGTATTACAAATCTGAAGACCTGAAGTGTAATTTGACCCAGGCATGTGCCAGCTTGGTCGTTTCTAAAGTATATTCTAAAGTATCTTACAAGGCATAGCACTTTTTCTTCGAAAGTAAAAGCGATAATAAATTCTATTGCTCTTTATTTCTTAAAAAGGTCATCTTCAAAAGAAGGCATAGTTGGTTATTTGCACTGTTGCTGAATAATACTTGGAAGGCTTCAAAATAAAAGCACTTGGTCTAACGTGTGTGCTATTAGCAAGTGCTGAGTTGTGTGTAAGGGCTGGTAGTTCCGTTGCTGTATGCAACTTCTGCAGTTCATTGATTATTTGTTGTTGTACCAATGTCTACTGATCCTGAGCTTTGAAAACTGACTTTTTGAAGACTTGAGCTGAGTACGACAGTGTTTGGACTTTACATGCAGCATTGGGCTGCCTATTTGGCTAGACTGGAGTAGTGAATTTGTGAGATTGGAAGCTTGGATTGACAAAGAAGAATAAATGTATAGGCAAGTGGAGTATGAAGAATTGGGATTAGGAGATAATTTGCCTGTATGTACTGCAGGGTGATAGGGCAGTTCATCTGATGTCTCGCAGTGGGCAAACAGCATGTTGATGGGCAGTTGGAATTGTTGGTATTGAATTTGATTACCATGTTAAAGTTCTTGAAAATAACAGCTATGATTTCTGATCTTAATGATTTTTGTCCAAGGGCTTCCACCGAATTTCCTTTTTTCTGCCAACAGTTAGATGTGGCCCTGGGAAATTGCTGCCATTTTTGTATTATGTGTGAATTGTTTTGATCAGGTTTATGTGGGTGTGTATATGTAAAATAATATATTTCTTTCTAATTCTTTAGGGAAACCATCTGGAATCACCGAGTCAAGTTTCTTGAGGATAGAGTCCTGAGCTCCTGGTCATCATTCACTATTTGGAATGCTGGCAAGCAAGGCAAGAAGCTCTACAGAAGTTTGTCACCAGCTAATCGGGAAAAGGTACATTACTAAGGATGGTAAAACCTGTACAAAACCACTTGCCTCTTCCTACATGTTGTAGTAGCATTCTCATGAAAATATTACCAGTGTAAATTGGAAAAATTCTCAATACTCTAATGAACTTGTCCTTTCTAAATGCTCCATTACATTATCTAGAGCATACTGTGTGTAGCTCAGCATAGACATTCTTGTTCCTGCTTGCTGGTGACTAAGCATAGCAGTAGCATAGGCACTCTATCATTGCTTATGGCACTGATGTGTAACTAACCTTTGCAGTAGCCGGGTACACCAGGTGAATCAAGTAACACTTTGTATGGCACAATACTGAACTACCTCGTCTAGGGTTACTCATACATGTATTTGTTACGTTTGCCCAGTTCCTAGTTGGATACTACGTGGGTCCCTGTCAAAACCTGAGCAGCCTGGTTTGTATTTTGATAAGCAGTGAGGCTGTAACCTCCTTTTGAAAAAGAGGGGGCTGTGGGGGGGCCATGCAAGTAGTGCTGTACATGGTGTGCAGTTTACAGTTGAAAATGTGGAGGCCACTTACAGTTGGGTGGAGGTTTATCAGAGTTTAAATCCCTCACTTTTATAGAATACTGTTTTGTGGAATATTTTTTTGTTAGATAAAGGCTTTAGGGCTAATGTCAAATGACTTTCTTATAAAAAGCCACAGAACATTGATTTTTATTACCAAATGTGTTTTCCTTTATTAAAAATGCAAGTGGGAAGACAAAATGACAAATATGTATACATAAACCTGGTTAATGTAGTTGACCAGAGGCCACACATCGGGGGGAGGGAGCTGGGAATAAAAGAAGGAATCTGTGTATATCCACAGTTGAAATTAATGCTTAGCAGTGGGAAGCACTCACGCAATAGATGTGCAACCCAAGAATTGAACCTGAATTTCCAGATCAATGTTGCAGTACCATAGTCTGTCATTGATATCGTGTGGTAATGGGTGAACTGATGAAATAATATTAAATGCTCTGTCTCCAGTCAGTCCAATCTGCCCTCAGTCAAAGAGGACAGATCAGTCTGTTAGATCTTTTCAGCTATCTTGGTCATGCACTGCAGTGTGCACCTAACAAAGCACTAGTGAATTTCTCTCATTTACTAACAGCCATTGCAAGTTATTATCTATCAAATAATAAGAATTAGGAGATAAATTCTAAGGGAAGAGATGGTAGCTGAAACTATGCTAATGCTGTGCAAGTAGGAATTTATGAGATGTGATGGGGAAACTGAGTTGTGATGTTGTTGTAGCAGTGTTCCATCATCTTAGGTCTTGGGGTTGTTTGTTTTTTTTTTTAATGCCAAGCTTAAATAGAGGTTGACACTAAGACAGAACAGCTCTCTAGCTCTGTGCTACGTTTGCCACCTCATTTTGTAGGTGACTCATTCAGAACTTCACATCCTGTGCAGCAAACACAGTGATAATTTGAAGATGCAGAGAAGATAAAAAGGACAAGAAAAACATTGGGTTTTGTGCTGTTTAGCTGCTGAAGGATCAAAGCTTGCCTCTCCTTCACTGATGAACAACTTTTAATTCTCTGGTGTGCTGGCACAGACAGCGTGGTTCTAATTAACTGGATTTTGATATTCTTTCCAGCTGACCCTCACTTAACATTTGCTTTGGCAATGTTGCAGGCCGTGACACTGTTTTGTTTCTGTCGATGTTATAGTTACACATACTGTAGTATGCTTCAGTTTGATACTGAAATATTGCATAGAGCATTAACTCATCAATTACTGGCTGAGCACCCAGCTGCAGGTGTACGTGTCAAATATGCATGTACTGCTACAATATAGTTGCAGCCTGATCTTAGTGCCTTCTATAGAGTAATCAAATCTTAACCTGTAAGTCCAGCACGTTACCTACAGATACATTCAGAGGTTTTCTTAAAGATCAGCAGAAATAAGTAGCTTCAGAAAGTGGCTTATGGTCATCATGAGTGAAATTAGGGGTCTTGCCTTTAGATACCTAACTTGTGATGAAATTATTATTATTATCTGTAGTGATTAAAACCTGGTTTTATGTTGATGTTCAGGCTTATTCATAGCTTTTCCAACAGCGAATATCCATCTCAGCTAGAAATAAAGCGTAGAAGATATACTGATGGTTCTTAGTCACTGGCAGAAGGCTGTCTGTGCAGTTCAAACATCTCACTTGTACAAATTCTATCTAAAGGATTATGCTGCTGCAGTTTCAACAAACAAATTCATAAAATTTGCAGTATAATTCATAACTTATTATTCTAAACTAATAACAGTAAAAAGAGGCTAGTTAAACTTCATGTTATACTTGTCCCAAAACACCTCAATTTTTTTAGGAATAATCCTCCACTCTTGCACTCTAAAATCCCATAGAAGTAAAGGTGGAAAATAGTTGTTGCTTCATCTTGTCTATCTCTTAAGAACCAGAAGCATACTTTTCCTGTCTCACTCTTTAAAGGTTATTTTAACAAAAGGTAAGCTTTCAGGTACACTGTTAATAATGAGAATAATAGAGATACAGAATCTAGCTATCAATCAAGAGACCTGGCTGTTGCCTCTACTCCCAGCTGAAGTGTTGCAATCAGGTCTGGGCCCCCAGCACAAGAAGGGCACAGAGCTGTTGGGGTGGATCCAGAGGAGCCTGTGAGGATGCACAGAGAGCTGGAGCACCTCTCCTGTGGAGACAGCTGGGGGCGTTCGACCTGGAGGAGAGAAGGCTCCAGGAAGAACTCATGGTGGCCTTGCAGCCCCTAGATGACTCTTTGTTGGAGAGTGTTGTGTCAGGACAAGGAGTGACAGATGTAAAAATGGGAAATTTAGGTCAGATGTGAGGGAGAAGATCTTTATCCAGAGGCCCTGGCACTGCTGCTCAAAGAAGCTGAGGGTGCCCCTGGAGGTGCTCAAGGAGGGGAGCAGCCAGTCTGTGGCAGGGGTTGGTGCTGGCTGGGCTCCCTTGCAGCCCAAACCATGCTGTGATTCTATAATCTACAAATAGAATCTATTATTGTACAGTTACCACATTCTACTCCGAAAATCCAGTTCTGAATGTGACCTTATATAAAGCAATGTGATCTTAAAAGGTCTCTAAGACACTCTGCAATGCAAGTCAAATTGCCAAAGCATGCTGTAGAATTCCACTGTCTAAATTTAGTTTCATATGTCCGTTTAAACTTGTGGAAATGTCACTTTTTCTCTGTTTCATGGTTGCTGCATCCTTTTATTGAGATTCAGAATCTCATTAACAGTCATGAGACTGATTTCAGTTGGGATGTGGAATCACAGTGGGGTTTTTTCCCAAATTGGGAATATCTGCATTGAATGTGGGGCACATCCACTAAAAGAAATAAAAACAACAACATCCATTTCTAGGGTTTTTACAGTGTCGTAAACAACGCAATTATATTTCTAATGCTGACTTGTTGTTTGTGGAGTGTTTGGGGTGTGGGGAAGAAATGCTGCGTGCCAAGCTGTTTTTCAGAAAACAAAATTTTGGCTATGCTGGGAAGCAGCAGTCTTCATTTGTGCTCAATAACATGTTATGACTTTAGTCTGTTTGTCTCAGTTAAATTATAACTATATCAAAGGAGAAAAAACACCTAAGCTATATTATGTCTTTTCCTTTAGACATCTGCATGGTGAAGAGTAAATTAATGCCTTTTTTCCAAAGTGTTCAGGCAAAGATCCAAGGTTCAGTATTTTTACTAAACAGTAACACAAGGAAAAAAATTATTCAACCAGTCAGCTTTTATTTATGAATTAATTACCAGGATCTCAGTATTCTTAGGGAAATTCTGTTTCCTGTCTGCCCCCTTCTTGATTCACACAGTTGACAGTGGTTTAGTATTAGCATTTCTGCAAGACTGAAGTCGAACAGACCTTTTTTTGTTTAAAACACATCCGTCTTGTCTATAATTTGCAGCTGAAGATGGAAACCAAATGTTTTTGGGACACTCCATATGCCTGGAGGGTTTCTGAGCTGTCTTGTCCACTCTTTTATTCTCTGTCAAACTTTAGCTAAAAAGAGAACTTGAGCATTAACATTTTGTGTCATTTCCGATCGCTGAAAATAGTTCAAGTAGTGAACAGAAAAGGAGGGGAAAGGACAAAATAAGCATCAGCTAATTAGTGGCATGGAAACAGTACTGTGCACATCCAGCCCATGAAACTTCTGTATTCTATCCACTGGCAAAACTGAAAGCTTCAAGTATTTTGTATGCTCTTTTTCCTAGCTCGTTTACCATTTAAAACCATCCATAGCCATGTACTTGATGCTCCCAAAAGCAAGAAATGCTTAACTTTTGTAGTATGTGAAAGGCAGTATGAGAGAATGAAGTGGGGAGCGCTCAGAGAAATCAAGGGAAGAATATTGCACCCACCTTTACTGCGGAGCACAAGATAGGAAGCCAGTAAGAGAGCTCACAGAGCAAAGGGAGACAGATGGACTTTAAAACCTTCAGTTTAGTCCAGGCATAAAGCATCCTAAAATGAAGGATCTATTTTACCACTCGTTATTTTGGACCACAGGTAGTATTTCATGCTGAAATACGGCAGGGAGACTTCTCTGCTGTTTGCAGACACGAAGGTGTTTTTTTTTTTTGAACTGCCATTTTGTCAGTATAGATTGTGAGGCATGCATACCTGAAAAATTCCCGGTAGAACTTTCCTACTTGTGTGTCCTAGAGAAATAAGAGACTTGCAGTGGTTCCCATGGCGTTATGTCTAAATGCAGCTATATTTTGCATGTAATAAGGGGAATTTTGGACGTTCAATACTTAGAAGCTAATTTTGCGTGTTGGATCCTGGCATGAATGTTGTTTTCAGCAAGTTTGGTGTGTATGTGTGTAAAGAGGGAAGATGATGATGTCTTTAATGGAGTAGTGTCTTTAATGGGTGCATGACATGCATATTGGGAGCTTAGAGAGAGACGCAGCTTTTGTTGTGGTGTAATGCTAACTGGGTGCAATAAAAGCAACATCCTGATACTGAAGTCAATCAGACTGTGACTGAGAATTGCTTGTTGTCTTTGTGGTTCCTCTTATGGCATGCTGAAGATGTTTCTGCCTCTGTGTGCCCCTTGGTCTGTTTGTCATTACTTGTATCTATTTAAACTTGCATTATAATGCTTTGCTTTGCTTTGTTTTGACATGAATAGCCAAAATTGATTTAACATTTGCAGAGATGTATATTAACGTGCTTCCGAGGCTTTATACAAGTAAGAGTGAAAGAATTATAAATAGTAGAATCAGGAAGGTCAGTAGAAGTTTAAAATGCATGGAGGACCGTGTGAGCAGTAGGAGACAGAGAGAGAATGCAATAGAGAAGATTCCTTGGTCTGATAGTCCAAGCCTGTCCCTTCACACTGTGCTTATTAAAAGGAACCAGCCAGAGGCATGCTTTTACCTTCCCCAATTTTTTTTTCCCCTAGATTTGAGTAAATAACTGATCTTTAGAGCCACATAAATATTCTCTTAAGAAGGGAAAAGCTTTCTCCATTCCCTTTATACCACTGTTAATGTGTGTTACAACCTATAACTATTACTTATAGTAATTATGTAGCTTGTGAATCACACATAGATAGCTGTCATCTCATTTTTAGTTGAGAAAAACAGCAATATTTTGTTTGTTTTGTACCTGCACAGATTTGTGTGTGTTGTTCAAAACAAAAATGCATAAACACTTGTGTATTTCCTTAAAACTGATGTGTGGCCTGAAGGCACATACATCAGTTTTAAGGAAATATACAAATGTAAGCTTCAATGATGCCTTGTTGTCAGTTGCATTGCAGATGAGTTATTTTGCTGGGAGGAAGGAAAAAAAAACTTTTGAGACTGTTTTGTAGCTTTTATAGTTCATAATTTCCTCCCCAGAAGCTCCTGTACGGGTAGATGAACTTCATAGGAGATGCAAGATAGGAGCCTGTTAGTGCAAGAGAGAAACAGGCAACATGGGTAAGCCTAACAGCCTAACGTAAATATCTCAAGTAAGCCTGATGCCTTGAGTCCCCCTTCTTGAATAAACAACTGCGTGCAAGTCCTGAATTTGTCTCCAGACAGATTTTCTTTAATTGGAAAATAGTGTGTGGCAGAAAAATTGTTGACTTACATTTTGGCCACCCACGTGGTGTACATTCTGTCAGAAGATTTGCCCATTGGAGTCTGGCCTCTTTTCTAATACTGCAGATATCAGATTTAAGGTGGCTGAATCCACTGAAAATTAGATGTGCAGATACTTACCAGCAGAAATCTTGAATGAAGTTTGCCATGCTCAATTCTTGCTCATCTACAGCCCACACCTTCTGTTTTTCAGTTACAGTAAGCTATAATGATGGCTGGGGAAAGCAGAGTTGGGGAGGTATTAATTTGTCCAAGCACAGAGACAAAAGAGAACCTAGGGAAGGTGCTGGTTCTTTGTGCTTGAAGTTGCTTGCGATTAGGGCTGTCTAACCCAGCCTGCATCAGCCACAGAGACTTTGTTCAGTGTCTGTTAGCTTCCTAGTACTTCCCTGCACTCCCTTTCTAGTTCCATTGTAAAGTCTGAAGCGTGGGCTGTGTCCTTAGTGTGACCCCTGCATCAGGAGCACCCAGAGCAGAAGTCTGGATCTGCTGGCCTGAAACATGATTCAGCTCCTCCTTCAGCTCCAAAGTGAAAATTTAATGTTTCCTTAACGTTCTTTTCTTTGTTGGTGAACCAATAAAGGATGCAAAAGTGCAGCATTAGGACACTAATGTTGTTGCATCAGTGTCCCCTATTGTGCAAACAGAAGGAGGTCATTTTAGGTAAAATAAAATATCTTATGCAAAGGAGGAAAATGGAAGGGATGGAGGTAGGTACCGAGAGCCAGCCAGCCTTCTGCAGCTTCTCTAACTTAGTAAATTAATATACAGCTGTTTGGCTGTTCAAATTTTCCCAATGTTAAGTGTTGTTAATCAATTTTTAATGCAACGATTAAAAAGATAGGAAAGCTGCTACCCAGCTTTCACCAGAATAATTGATTTCTGCAAGACCTTAAATACCTTCACCGTTCTGCTTCAGTGTAAAAGCTCTGTGCAGATGATACAGATAGATCCAAAGGAAGTCAGAGGAAAACATAGCTACATTTGTTTTTAAAAGTCTTACAAAATGTTACTGACATTTGGTTTAATGGTTCCAGAATGAGGCCACTGTGTATTTTGGATTGCAGGCATTTACTATGCCTGTGTATTTGTGGGGAATACAGATTAAAAAAATGTAAAATATTTGGCAACAAGGGCTATAAATAATGCTTCCATAACTACATTAAGAATAACAAAAACACAGCAGTAAATGTATGTATTTAAACAACAAAATCTGCTGGTGTTTTCAGTTGAAAAATAGGGATAAAATCTGGAGATAAACAGCAGACCTGGGGTGTTATGGCTGAGAACTGAAGCTGGTATTACCAGAGCATCCATAGCAATAGTGCAGCACTGTGTCTTGTATCTTGCAGTAGGTGATGTGCTTGGACTGGACTGGCAGGTATTCATGATCAAATCTAAGTGTTTGGTGGAAGTCCTGCAATGAGGAGGCCAGCCTCTGTCTTTACTCGGCGTGTCACTGAGGATGTGAGGTTAATGGTCTCATGTGTTTTTTCTTACACAGCATCTGTTTTCATGATCAGGAAAACACAGTCTGCTCATAGCCATCTCCAAACATTGCCTATCTCACTAAGATGTACATGGAAGTGATTTAATATGTTTTAATCTCCATGAAGACCATGGCGACCAAGTGAAATACCTGCTGATAGCAAAGAATGGCATTGAACCATTCTGCTTCCTTTTCTCCAGGTAGCTGCGTTTTGTGATGTTGATGAAAAGAAAATAGCAAAAGGATTCTACACTTACGAAGAATCTGAGGTTAGTTCCTTTTGCATTCGTTGCTGTGATCTGAAAATGTTCTGAGAAAAGTGATGAAAGAATATAGCACAAATGTTTAATATGATATGGCAGCTCATTTTGGTAGGAGACCATGACTGGTGGTTAGAGGTAAGGAGGCCGTGACTGTGTAGGAAGCTAGAGAGCTGGAGATCAATACCACAGAGCCAACTATGGAGCCAGAATCCCTGTCTGAATGAGACCACCTCATCTGTAATGGTGACAGAGGAATTGTCTCTGAATAGTTTTGTTTCAGGTCAGATCAAAACCAGCACAAGGTGTGATTCTTAGGAATGGGTTTTATAGAGATGCCTCTAGACCTCACAAGAAAGAACAAAGAGGGATGAGTGGGAGGACTTACAGACACAAACTTCTTGCCCTAATGAAGAGGGAGGTAGAAGGAAGAACACGAAGACTTGTGAGATGGTATTTCCACTGTTAACAAATTGTGATGGCAGCAAACCTCTTCCAAAGGGGTCATCTTCCAAGTTGAAGCAGACAGGCAGGAGTACCTCAGTTAACTGAAATCAGCTCAAAAAGACACATGTATATTCTGATGGGATAAAGTATTGCCTTCTCTGATGGTTTTTCTTTTAGATGAGAGCATTTGGCTAATGACGGGCTAAAGTCTAATGTCTACTAAGTAGAAGAAAATTTCAGTGATGAATTGTAACTTATCTGTAGGTTAATTATAGTCATACTGTATCTAAATAAGACTTTAACTGATAGGCTTCTTTCGAGCCTAGAATTGTAGGCACAAACACTTTATTCCACTGAGAAGGAATAATGATATTTAGATAGCAATAAACAAATCACATAGAAAAAGTTGTTTTATTACACTGTTAATTTAATGGTAGCAATTAGCTCCAAGATCTGGAGTAATTTCACCCGGATTCAGGCCCTCAAACAGTCATGTCAGTGACATGACAGCTCTCAGGTTCACTGGGCACTGGGTCAGGTCCTTGGGAGTGCAGTCTGACGCTGTGGCTCAGCTGGTTTAGCTGCAGGGTGGTCTGACCTCAGCCCTGCGCTCCCACTGCCTTGTTTATACTGGGTCTAGCAGTCTTGTGGCTAAAGGATGACAATTCAGTTTGCTGATCTGGCAGAGAAGGAACCCTCAAAAGAAGTTTTCCAGCACGTTATCTTGTGAATAAAATTACCCTGAGGTTGCTGTGGGAGGGGTGAGGGAGCATCTCCTCAGATGCAGCTTGTGATTAGACCAATTATAAAATCAGACTCTGTACTGGGAGAGTGCTTCCAGCTGCAATCAGAATTGAGGATTTTGGCCAGGAACACGACTCATCACCTCTAGTTAATAGTAATGCTATGGGCATTTCTGTTGCAGATCTGTGCTTATGTCTTGCTAACATGTAGCCATTCTCCCAGATCAGTCATAAATAAGATTATACTACAAACTGTTGTGAATCCTTAGAAAATTCTGCAGCTTGGAGCCCTGTTGAAGTCTAGTTGAGCATAAGCCATTTAACAGCTCTAGCTAAAAGGGAAGGATTCTGCTTTTATATTTGCTGCTTGCCTTGTGCCTGCTTTGCTCCTTCTCTGATGGCACATTAAGCTGATTCAGCTCACTAAAGGGGTAGAACCAGCTCAAAAGAAAAACAGAAAAATATATATAGTATGTGATGTGATAGGCTGTTATAGCAACCTGCCTTGTAGTTAAATCCAAGAGGAAATCATTTGGGGAGAGGGCTAAAAGGCAGATAACCTGAAGGAGAGGAATGAGAGCTGCTCCTTTCAACAGCAGAAAGCTCTTAATTAAGATCTGTGTAATGTAGTGCATAACTTCATTCAAAGAAAAACAATTATGTTGAAAGGTTATGGAAAGAAAGTAATGGGTTCTTGAAATGACTGGGGAAATGGTGAGTGGAGACGTGATCATGTACACTATTCAAAAATAAGGTCTTAAAATTCCCTTCTCCTCTTTTACTGCTTAGTAGCTCCTAAAACTAAAACAAGTGCCTATTTGTGCTTCTTAACTGTTTGACTGCTCTGCTTGCAGGAGAGACCAAAACCAAAAATTCCTATATGTCACTTCAGAGAAGCAACTCCACCTTTCATTATCTGTGTGAAGCAGGTGAGCACCCTTAGCTGTATGTACAAAATCAGTAATTGCTCCTTATTATCATCAATTTCTATGTAACTGTTTTCCCAGAAGTCTTTACTATACAATTGAAGGGCCCTTCTAACAAACTGTGCAGAGTACTTCAGGGTTTTAAAACAGCAGCATTAAGAATTGTAATATTAAGAATGATAAAAATTACAGCCTGGGTAAAGGAGCTTGGATCTGTTCTCTATTCTTGCCCACCATTGTATGCACAAATAAGTACATATCGTTGGTCACCTGCTCTTGTTTATTCCTAAAATATTGCAGCCCTGTGAGTTTCAAAGGCTTTATTTTATTTTTTTTTAATCAGACCTTGAAAACTATTTTGTTTGGCACTGTGAATTCTGACACCATTTCCGAGGCAGACAGTGGTAACATAACTAGAAGATAACCAGCAGCAATTGTGCTGCTATATTTAAAATAATAGCACAGCATAGCGGGGTAACACAGAAGATTAAAGCAAAATAGCAACTATGCTGTAATTGTAAATGTTAATTAAAAAGTCTCTGAAAGTAACTAAAACTTGAAGCTATGTAGAAACATGGATATTTTAAAACTGTTGTAGATTTGTTTAAAGATAAATGAGCTGAATCACATCTCATACAGATCCCTGTTAACTTTGCCCTCCCAACTCTACAGCCAACTCTGAGATCATAACTTAGGTTGTAAAGCCAGACTGAAAGTACCTTAGGGCATTACTGTGTAGTGCTGGTTGATAAACTGCTGGATCAACTAGTGATATTACAACTAATTTAATTTTTCATACTACATATAATGGTGGGTGGAAGCCCCTAGACAAAACATCTGTGCAACCTGTTATGAAGCACATCTAATTTGTGAAGCCCTTACAATGAGGCTGTTGTACAACATCTTGCCTTAAGACAAGTAATTTTAGTGTATTTTCTGCTATTTGCCACTGAGCATTTCCTACTTACCAATCCACGAATACTGCAGGCCATAGTCTCTTTCAAGCAGTATTTTTAAATTGTAAATAGGATTTGACCTACTTGAAATACTTTTAGAGCTTGTGAAGTTATTTCTAATGTGTCTTTGGAGCTGCTTACTTTCTGGGAGAACGTAATGAAGCCAACAGCCATTCAGATGGGGCTGCCTCTACAAAGTGCAGGCAGGTCATGTCCTTGCCCATCTCACTTTGTGACTGAGACACGCAGGTACTGCTAACGTTGGTGCTGTAAGACCTGATGGCAAAAACACCCCAGTGCAGAGGTGAATGAAAGTCAGTGTGCAAGGAGTTGCAGCAGCGTTGTACCCTGGGAGAACGAGAGGAGCCAAAGGGACAAGAAAATGATGAGAATAAACTTGCATAATAACGTAGTGGGAGCCCTCAGAACTTGCCTCTGTGTAAGTTTTAAATGTACCTGTTAATAATACAAACCTCACCGTACCCCTCTGCCATTATGCCATATTATTGGTGTGATATTATGAAGATAAGGGATCGGGTTAGAAGGACACAGATGTTTATAATGAAGAGCTGAAACCAAGTATTTGTCTGTAGTGCTGAATATACTGTTATTACCTGAGAAACCTCGGACACAGTGAGACAGACAGACAACGCAGGTATCTGTACCAAAGTGCAGGACGTGTAAAAGCCAGGAGAGAGCAAAGGACTCGGAGGGTCTCGTCCAGCAGAGTTCTGAGTCGCACTCCCAAACCCAGCCTGCTGGACCCTCCTTTCTGCTACCGCTGGGTTTTGCAGCTGATCCTCAGGAAGTTTTACAACCTCTCTTTTAGCCATTGTCATACTTGCTGGATTTAATTACTGTTATGAGTCTCCGTGGAGGCAGTTGGAATCTACAAAATCCCATTCTTAGTACTTGCGAGGTTGTGCCGGGATTGAAATGGCCACGCTTTTCAGTAGTAGTTTTGTCATGGAAAGTAGTCTTCTACCAAAACAAAACAAGCTGATAAATGTCTGTGGTTTAAAATATTCAGGTATCCTGTCTGCAGCAGCTTTCAAACTTCTGGGTCTGACCGCTAAAGGAAATGGTTTCTAAATGGGCTGAGAAGAGCAGAGTGTTGAACTTTCATTCATCTGCGCTGCTATTGTGCGGGCCACAAAATGCCGCGGGTTGGCCTTTGCTGTATTTATAGACGGAATTTGCCTTGCTCTCTGTGCAGCCCACATCTGAAGGAACAGCTAAAAGCAAACCTTCCCAGCTGCTTTTCTTTATTCACCTCTCTCCATTTCCCCTTCCAGCGCGTTTTTCAAACAAAGAAATATGGTAGGATGCATACATAGATAAATGTTAAGACCGCATCAAATGAAAAATGTTCTGTAGTTTCTGATAGCTGTTTCTGCCTCTCTGATTCTATTCACTTGCATACATCACATGGAACTCTGCAGAAAATGTTGATGTTAGGAGCTAAGTCCCAAGGTGAGGTGAAAGACATGACCACAACAAAACAAAGTTCTTCTGTCCATAGGGTGCTGTGTGGGACCAACAAAATCCGAGTGTTTGAGAGGTTACGAAGTGTCCGTGTTTTCAAACTACTAAGGGTGAGGAGGTTGACCCAGCTCTGTGTTTCAGGTCATGCTGCTAACATAGAAAGATTCCCAGTGAGTGTAAGGACGTTTCTTGTGCAGCCAAACAAACGTGTGGATGCAGCCCATGCAGCCTGGCTGGAGTCCCCTGCTGGAACTGCTTCTGTGTGGTGTGGACTTGTTGAAGTTGATGTAAGGCAGAGCTAGCTGCTGAGACCTTCCACTGATTTACTTAAACAGAAGTCATTAACAAGTTTGTAAACATCCCAGACTTCCGAATTTATTATTTACAAATATAGATTAACCAACATCCTTCTGAAGAAGTGTTCTGGGGCCTTGCTGTTTTTTGTTCTGCCTCTCATGGTCGAGAATTATTTTTAGTAGTGATACAGACAAAACCTGCATGTTTATAAGCAGCTCTAAGAGGGTGATTTTGAAGATTAGATATGTTTATTAAGTGGTGGTCTGCAGGAGTTGACCCTGATGGCCATGTACTTCAAGCACTGTTTGCTTATTTATTTTCTCTGGCAGCTCCTCCCTAGCGCAGTATGACTCTGTTACCATGTAAAATCATCTTTGAAAAAGCAGTCACACTATTTGATTTTTGTTGGGTTTGCTTTTAAAACGGCTTCACAAAGGGCTGCAGCTGAAATCCTGTGCTCTGGGTGTGTGTGCATCATGGCTTCAGCTCATCACAGTTGTGCACCAGCCTGCAGTACCACTTCACCTAAGGGTCTGCACTGTGTATTTTCTCTTGCTTTGAGGTGAAAGCAAAATGCTTAGAAATCGCTTACTGTACCCTGTTTTGGCATGGCTTCCAAGTGCTTGAAATGAAAGGGATTTTCTACTATTCTGCCTCAGTAATTAAACTAGTTCAATTGTGTGAAGTATTCAGGAAATTTACTGTTGACCAGTTATTGTGAAACACTGCCTTGTTCTGTCACCTCAGTCTTGCGGTCTGGGAATGAAAGGTTTGTTTTTAACTCTTCTGCTTAATTTAGCATCTGGGCTCTTTTATTTTCATTTTTAACCCTTCTTCAGAGCAGGTTGATTTTTTTTTTTTTTTTTTTTTTTTTTTTTTTACAGCACCGTTTCCTACCCCAAGTCCAAATTTGGGTAATCTTGGGTTTATGTAATCATTAGAGGAGACTAAAGGTCATGATCAGGACCTGCATTTCTAAGTAGAGCTCTCTGTTGATGTGAGTGCTGAGTCTTGCACTTGAACCAGTGGAAGCCTGGGATCCGAACTGGATTGCAAAACCAGGACCCAGTCCTTCGAAGTACTAAATGCTGTCAAGTATTCTTAATATCAAGAGGTAAAAAAAGAACAACCGTACTCAGCATCTTTCACACTCAGGCCCTTATCACTCAGGTAACCAATAGCTTAGATAGGTAAAGTGGAGCTCTTGCTTTAAAAATCTGCTGCCATCAGACCTTTTCTGCCCTTCTCCAAGTTATGCATTAGCTGTTATCATTGTTCCTTTTAATTGTTTGTAAACAACTGTGCTCAAGTAGCTTTAGGACTGTGGTGGATTTGTTTTTGTTGAAGTTCTGCATCAGATAATGTTGTCTTTGTATACTTTGGCATTGCCAGTGAAAACTGAGAAACACTGCAGGTAGAAGATACTGGGATAGGAGAAAAGGGAGGGAATCTTTGAGCCTGAGCACAGCATGCTGGTTTGAGCCACGCTTTGAAATATGCAGTGTTTCCTATATAAATTTAAGGAGCAGGTTGGAGGGGACAGGGTGGGTGGTTCTGCAGTTGGGGGGACTGTTGATGGAGATGGCCTTGTGTTCCTTGAATGGAGGGCTTCTAAGAAACACCTGTATGCTGTGTGAGCAGTTTTATAAGCATTGCAGCAGATGGGTCCAAGATGAGCTGGAAGCTGAATGTCCTCTATGTAAGTCAGAAAACTTTATTTCTGAACTCAGATATATAGAAAGTCCCAGAGCAATTTTATTGAAGCCAATTATTCTAGCCTAAGTCCAGCATTCCTCCTCCTCCAATTCCAGTTTTGTTTGGGCTCTACTTTTGTAACTTCCTGTCCAAAACACCTGCAGGGTGTTGTGCAACTTCAATACTGCTACTCTGGACCATCCAAAAAAACATAAAGTTTTCTGTACTATTGTGAGGTTTAATTCATTTCTGTGATATTCCTGAAGTAGAACTCGGTGAGGCCAACACAGAAATGTCAAAAACACTGCTGGTGGCAGGTTTTCTTTTAATGACATCACAGCTGTGTTAGGATCTGTATTGCTGCCTTGAAAAATGACTCATGGAGCAAACCCACCAGGTTCCTGTTAAGGTAACGACAGCTGAAAAGGAAACACCTTCACCTAAGCAAAGTATTTCAGTTGCTTGATGAAAGGTTTGTTTCATCAGCCAAGCCTAATCACTGTTCAAAATCTACAAAGTCACTGTTGTATCAAATTCATTCCCTTGGTCTTTTCTCTGCAAATGCCTACACTGGAAAACAAAATACCCAGAGTTGCAGATGTTTATCTTCAGAGCTCTCAGTGTAGTCCTCATGTTCTACTTCAGTGCATTAGAATGATGAGTTGTCTGACATCCTCCCACAACCCCAAAGATACTAACCTGAATGCTAATTTCTCAACATATGCCTAATTTTTGAACAGATACATTTCTAAGCCTTGTTCTACTTATGTTCAACTCTGCAAATGGGACTTTTTCCCTGTGGCCTAAAGAACCAAATTAGCAAAGCCTGTTACAACCTGAAATACCTTTTGTCCAGTTTTTTTGTCTGGCTTTTGTGTTCCCCCCCCATAGGATTTGACAGGAGGAGCATTTGAAATGAACTTGAACATGCTGAACTTGAAAGAAGGGATGGATTATTATCACTTTAACTAAAGGCAAAGGTAAGGCAGCAACATCAAAGCTGTGTGTTATGTCTGTATCAGCACGTGCAGGAAAACCAGTGTTAGAAATTCTCAGTAATTTGTGTTTTACTAATCTTTATTCCTAGTAGCCCTTTGTAAGGGAGGTACTAAGAACACCACTATAGAGGTATTTACTCATTTTACTATTGCCCAGCACTGACCTACCAAGCTCATTTTGTTTGTTAAATTGCACTTCTAATTGAAGTAATCATCAAATAAGGGCCAGAAGACTACAACAGCACTGTTACCATAGGGAAGTATTAAAAATGCATCAAGGAAAGCCTATAACCATGCAAGTGTAAAGAGAGCTTTCTGTCAAACCTTAGCTGGGGCCCTCAACCTGTCCCTGCTATTGGCTTCATCTGCTACTGAGAGCAACAGCTGGCACTTCATGGGTGAAGCTCTGCACACAGCCAGTACTGAGGTGAAGTACAGCAAGTACAGCATCCTCTGATTCAGGGCTGTTAGAAGCAGGTGTATGTGTAACATCAGTTGGCAGGCACATGATTACTGCATGCAGATATATTTCTCACTGGACCTTCTCTTATTTTTTTGTGCTTAGCAGGTCCTGCCACCACAACTTGTATTTTTTATGCAGTAAAACTCTGCAAGAGCAAAATGAAAAATTATACTACAGTATATAAGGCTCTTAATGACAGCCTAACAGGAGGGATGACACCTGCAAGAGCCAATGTGCTGCACAGAGCCACGTGGCCAGCTCAGTATTTGAACTGAGTACTCATTTGTTTAATAGTTAGAGAATACCATGCATAGACTTACATTGAACTTCATGTGCCAGCCCAGGTTGCAAGCTTAGTTAAGAAGTTTTGAATAACATAATATGTCATTTGCAGTATCTTAAAAAAAAATCTTGCAGTGACACAAGTGTAGTTTTGGAAATGAACACCTGCACTACACCATAGCAGGTACTCCACAGCTTCTCTTGAAATTTTCCTTTCTTTCAGATTTTCCCAGGTGTGTGTGTATGTACTGTCCCTGATTGCTGTTCTATCTGCAGAGCGAGGAGAGAGGAATTCACTAGAACCATCAAAAAACAGATGTAGTGACACCAGGTTACCTGTGCATCTGCCCTACAGTCACAGTAATGTTACTGAAGATAAATGTTGCAATTATTTTGTTTTATGGTCCATAAGGAATAGTCTGAATTCCTGCCAGTTGCTTGAAGTACTGACTCCCCTCTGTAGTGAGGGAAAAACGAAAATGAAACTTCAGTTCCTAAAGCTAGTTTACTACATTTGCTTGAATAACACTTTGGCATTAGTTGAAGTGAAACTTAGGATTTTTTGTTTGAATATGATGTACAAATGGCATACTTGCCTGCACATATAAACTCTCCTAAAGATGAAGTACCAGTAAGTACAGCCATTCTTACCTCCAGCAAAAAAAAATTCTTTTATAAGAGTAATGCAGTCAGTTTTAATATTTAATGTGTAAACAGCAAGCGCAGGTTGAATGACTCCATTCAGAACTGGAGAAGTGTAAATCATTGACACAGGGAAAAAAAAACAACTGAAATCCAACAGGTCAGCCAGAGCTATGAAGCTATGAAGACAAACTGCCATCTTGTGGCTACAGATAATGAATTAAGAAAAAAACGACATGAATTGTTGCCCTCACAGGGTCTGCATAGCTGCACGGTGCCATAAGACAACTTCTGCCTCTTATTTTGTTCACCAGTGTACTTTGCAGAGATGCTGAGAATCCACCGTGTTGAGATGCCACAGCAGCACCTGAACCAAGAGCTTGGATTTACGAAGCAGAAGCCAGCACTGTGACTTCACTTTGCTGAACTCTGCAAGAGAGAAAGAGAAAAGAGGTGGAGCAGCACATAGTGCAGTCTTACCAACTGCACAGTTGTGTATGGAATTAAGTAAACTAAAGAAGAAAATGTAGAAATCTGAAGTTAAAATTTTTAACTACCCATCAGTAAATTTGATTTGTACAGGTTTTTAAAGGAATAATTGTTTATTTATTTCAATAAAATTAATTCATCTTTTCATAATGCTTGGCATTCTCTGCTGCTGTTTGTTCTTGAGCTCCTGTGTGCGAACCAGCTGGCTGCAGGTAGGACATGAGGACAGCTGCAGCAAGTCTTTCAAGTTCACTAAGTGTCACTTTCAGAGCAAACTCTAAGTTCTCTGGCTGGGCTATGCACAGTACTGTAACAGCTCTGTGCTTTTAATGTACTGAGCACTGGCATTTGCTTGCCAGATTGATGCACTGCTAAAGAAACCTTGAAATCTTTCAATTAGGAATGCTCTTTCACAGCAGTGTCTTCTAAAGAAATCCCTTCTTCTACCATTGCTGGGTGATTCCAGAAAGAAGAAAGGATTTTGCTGTGCTGAATTTCATCACCTACAACTGGAATAGTTCCTGTTGTTATCCAGTAAGTTAGTGCTTGAGATGAACGTGCTAAGACCTAACTAGTTTCCTTCTACATTTGTTACTTATCTTGCTTACTTGAGCCTCACCAGCAGAACAGAACGACCTCTTCCAGAAATTAAAGCAGGAAGTTCTGCCTTTCTAGAAATACTGAGTGGATGGGCAATTGCAAACTGTCTGCAGTGAAGTGGAAAAAAAAAATCTGCACCTGATCTATTGTCTTCTTATCAATGTGAATGAATTTAATCCAGAATATATTCTCTGTGTTAGAGTTCTGTGATTTGCACCAAAAGCAAACCTTATAATTTTGCTGTTAAAATGGAGTGAGATGCTGTTAACCTTTTTTTTTTTTTTTCCCCAGAAAGGGCAGTCAAACAGTTTTTGAAACATCTGTGCTGTATTATTCCATTCTTGCATTTAGTCTGAGTAAGATGTCACACTGCAACTCTGGAATGCTTTCAAGAAATGAAATTGGAAGGACTTGAGAGAATAGTTTTCAGCAACTCCATACACTCTGTAGTTAGCTGAGGACATTCCTACATTCATGAACCTGTGAAGGACTACATCTGTTCCACAGAACTTACCAAATGTCCTCAGTTACTGGAACAACTGATCATTGCAATGCTTCTTCCCAGAAGCTCAGGAGCACTGCTGTACCTTACCTTGGTTACCAGCTGTGGTTTGGGCACCTTCAGGAGCTCACAGAGGTGGTTGCGTTTCTCTCGTAGCTCTGCTACTTCAGCTTCCCTGCACAAAAAAGCAAGTTCCAAGCACTTCAAAAACACAAACCCAATGCTGGCCGTGTAAGTATCCATTTTTTAATTTAGCACTATGCTTATGTCTGTTCTTTCAAGTATATTTCCAACTACATGCTCTTGTTACGTGGCATTTTTAGAAAATTGTAAGCTTTTTGCACCATTTTAAGCCAGATAAACCATCAATACCCAGCGAGCTCCTCCAGAGAAGGCAGTTAGGAGTTCAACTCCTAAGATTATTCTTTTAGACTTTTTTTTATTTTGGAAAGTAATTTTCTTCGTAAAAGCTTTCTGATTAAAAGTTCATTAATTTATTCATTTATAGCTGCTTTTTATTTAGAAAACACCATATCAAGAATGTAACTAAGTGTCACTGGATTTGGAGAACATGCTGCCATGCAGGGAGGCATTCTCCTGAACTGAAAACCCAGATCTAATGCTAGCAGAACTTCTTAACAGTTACAGGAGTAACAAAACATTTACAAGATAATTTCCTCAGCAGTGGTTACAAAAAGCTCCAAATGCCAAAAATCCAAACAAGACATTCTTTTACAGATACATTTTTTACAACATCATAACTGAAATGCTTCTCAATCAGCAAATACAGTTTGCTTTTCTTAAGCCTAAATGAGTGATTGGAAAAATTAACTCTTAGCAAGTAAACTGATTCCAAAAACAGAGAAAAAGCAAAAGTACAAGTTAGTGAATTAAAAGTAACCTGAATAATATGTATAAAAATATATTTGGACACTTGTGGATTATAGAATCATCAAGGTTGGAAAAGACCTTCAGGATTATCTGTCCAACCATCAAGGTGACCTACCACAACCATCAGTAAACCATGTCATGGGTCACATTTAATACTGGAAACTTTCCTGTAGCTAAAGAAAATGTTATTATGTATAGTGTAATTGTTTAAACTTGGAATTGTACAATTGTAAGATTAGCTCTCTGTAATTCTAACAAAGAAAATGTTACAAGAATGCATATTCCAGTCACTACTGTCTTCCCCAAATATTTAGTTTGGCTTCCTGCTGTTAGTGCTTATTTTACTGCTGCAATTACTGTGCTTTAGCACTGAGAAGGGCTCTCTATGATACTCAGCAATGACTTCATCTATCTTCCTTTGTAAACAGTTCAAATTAACATGATAAAACAAGTTTTAAGTTCTTCATCTCTTATCTCAGTGCAAGGGATATATTGTGACAGGGAATAAAGCAGGCAGGCAGTCACAGCTTCATAGGGGCAAGGTGAAAATAGATATTTTCTCTGAACTTTCTGTATGAAGTTCACTGCTTTGTTTTGGTGAGCAGCTCCACACAACTGCTGCTTTTCCTGTAGCAGTTTGGTGTGTCCCTCTTCTAAGCTCACAACTGTAAGCAGCAGCAACCTAATCCTTATCAACTGCTTCTGTAGCAGCCAAAGTTTAAACTGCTGAGAAAGCCTGCTCTTAATTTGGATTTCCTAAGCCAGCACTGAACCAGCCTAGGCAGAACATTACAGATCAACGTGTAGTCGAGCAAGAAAGCAGAACGGCCAGTAATAACCAGTTCTTCCAAACTTGTGACTGCATACTGAACTCTCAGACTCTATACTGAAATCTCAGGGAAATGTGAAGCAGCCGCCCCTGCCAATAGCAGACATTAATTTCTTTTCCCAAATATGTTATTTAAGATCAAATGCCGAAACAAGCTGGAAATTAAATACAAGTTCAATAATGTAAGCATGCGAACTGCAGCATTAAGGTGTGCTTGTTGTTGAAACACGTTTGTTTCATTTCCACTGAAGAAAAAAACCAGTTAATATAATAATATGTATGACATACGTTCTTAATATTCTTCAAAACACCTCCTATATTACTCTGTGAGGAGCGTGGAGCAGCTGGAGCTCAGATGAAATTGGAGCAAAGACATTTCAGTTAATTGCTGTTTACAGCTTGCACAGATCCTTTCCCTTCCAAAATGCTGCCAGAATTAAATACCTATCACTCAGTGCAGACTATTGGTCAGTGCAGCTTCCTTACCTCCAGTCCTTAAAGGTGTGGATGCCTTTCTTTCAACTTCAGTGGTACAAAATCTATTTCAGCTGCTATTACTATCTGAGAACCAACTCACCAGTTATTATCGCTGAGGATGGCCATCACCTCATCTATGATGGCAGGATCAACTACTTCACTGTAGGTTATCAACATTTCATAAACTTGACTGGCTGTTGTTTTCCGTATCTATGGGAAGAGGCAGAGGAAGCTTCAGTAAAGTATCCAGAGTGCTGCAGGGAAAAGCCCAGCAGGCATTTCACCCCTATTGGTGCTGGCAGAGGAAGAAGGGATGAGGGTCACAGAAGTGCCTTTTGGAAAACATTTGCTTTTCAGACCTGTCCCTCACAAGGAGTAAATTCAAATGTTAAGAACAGCCTAATGGGAGCATTTCTTTACTTGAAATGTTCACTGAGCAAAAGTCTGCCCCAATGCTGGCTGCTGTAGGACTACAAAGAAATTAATGTTCCTCACCCCAGAGGCTGTGTAACATTAGTTTTTAGACCCCAGCATCCAGCAGCAGTTACCCAAGATTTTTTCCCAGAGCACTGTTTAGTTGCAATGTGATGCACATAAAGAAAAAGCAAGCAAGGCTGGTTCCTGAGATACAGTGCGTGGAAAGACACTACATGGAAGACTGCAAAACTCTAACAGGAACAAATTATTATTATTTTTTTTTTTTTTTTTTTTTTTTGGTCAAGGAAGCCTGATGGTAACTAAAGAGAGGCAAAGAAATTATAGGCATATTTCCTGAGCAGTGGTGCAAATTTAAATCGTCTGCTCTATTAAAAGATAAATATATCATGAAGTAAACATGAAATGATTTATCTTCAGTTCTTACATTGCCCCTCCTGCAAAGTTCTCTTTCTGGAGCAAGGGAACACAGCATGGAAACGTTTGGACCAAAACTCCAAAGCATCCAGCTTTGCTGAGCACCATATTATTTTGCCCTGGACACCAACGGAATCAGTGCTAAAATAAACAGTGTAGGTTTGTATTGGCCAGAAACCAGGGCATGCAGTGCCACATTTTTATGTGCCCTCGCAGTGGTATCTGACAGCCCCTGCTTCTCCTGCACCACATGAGGGCTGGAGCTGCCTCTCCTCACCTCCTCACAGCACTCCTGCAGCATTCCAAGATGAAGCCCTGAACACCAGTGCCATTGGAAGCTCATTACTGGGTTCAGCTGCCACAGCAGCCACCAGTCTGGCCTACAACATCTGGTACAATGGACCTCATGTTCTCCCAGAAACTTTACGGCGACAAAAAAAGCCAACACAAAAACCAACTCTAATGCCTGCGATGTTGTCCCACATACAATCCTCTCCTGCACATCCTCAGAAGCAGTAGCTCATTTTTCGAGCCCTGTTTCAGTTACTTAATCTGCTTCAGGTGGCAGCACAGCAGAGAACAGACCCTTGAGAAATAAAACCTGGTATTACATCACTGTCTCTTCAAAGAGCATTAAAGCAACATTCTTAATTTTATTTTTAAACTTCATATATATTAAAGTAACGCAACTGATACTATGCAATTTCTTCAAGACTTACCACAGGAAATGGATGGCAAAGGAGGAGAAGTAGCTGAAACAAAACTTTCTCTCTCATATCTCCTTGAAATTGAATCAGGCCACAAAACCTGAAAAGCATAAGAAAATATGGATCTCAAGCAATATTTGTTCATGCTATAACTGTAAAAGTACATTTTGAGGATCAGAATGAAGGTATACATTAAAAGAAACAACATGGGGAGACAATGAAGCATTGCTGTCCCCAGGAGATCTCAGCTGATATTCTAAGTGCTGT